GTTCTGGTCCAGTATCAACTTGTACCAGTGTGATGTAGAAACTTGAAGCCACCAGTGCACATCCACTGAGAATGGACTTTAGAGTGAAGTAGGAGACATCTTGTACCATTTATGCTCTGTCTCGACTGATTTTAGGTGTGTAGGATATCTCTTCCAGAAGGTTGGAAAGGTTGCTGCTACATCTGTAGGGGGAGGTCTCCTGCTGCTGCAGGTATTCTTGCATCACCGGGCACAAATGTATCCTTTCAACAGAATAAAATCCTTTTAGAGAATCTGCCTCTAATGTGTTTTTCATTGTCCTGACTCTTTCTCCAGATAGCTAACAACACTGGCTATATCCAGGTGGACTGGAAGAGAGTGGAGAAGGATGTCAACAAAGCTAAGAAGCAGTTAAAGAAGGGGACCAATCAAGCAGGCCCGGAGCTAAACACATTTGTGGAGAAGGTAAGATATTTGTGTTTTGTTGTTTGGATTGTCACACAAAGGCCAATCAGAGCTTTGCTTTTGGCCTTGATGAATCATCCTTCCATCACACATTCAAAATGACACCTAAAGTAAAGTCCTGGTGGCCGGCCTTGTGGTTAAAACGCTTACCATATGACTGCAATGTCCCTGGTTTTGCCCTACTTTGGCTAACATTAAAGTCTGAAAACTGAGCGTGTCTCTGTAGTGTATGTCTATTTATGTCTCTTATAAATAAGTTCACAGATGAACAGAGAGTGAGCCATCTTTCCTTGTTGTGATCTCTGCTCAGAGATGCACATGCGCAGCCAGTAATAATGTATGGATTTGGCAACCGTCTTCACAAAATTTTAGTTTTGAAATAAACTAATAGTAATTAATAAAATTGTATTTTTTATCAACAAAAAGTAACATTTTGTTATTGCTATCAATTTAATATTCAAATACTGTAATGTAAAATCTTGTTCACAATGTGAGACTATTTTTAAAATATAAACTCAAACATAGAAGTTTTTCTAAAGAGGAAAGGTAGATTTCCTCAAAAGATTATAGGTTAGCAAAAGGTCTTTTTAATTTATTTTAAAACTATAAGGTTTGAGTTGTAAAATTTAAATTTAGTGAAGTTAATGAAACTAGTTTTCTCAACTGTTTCTTTTTTCTTTTTACAGTGTACAATGCAGTGGAAATGAGGCATTAATGTGATTAATTTGTTATAGAGTCAGAGAAAACCTTAACTTAAATGGGTTAGGGTTAATTCAGCTACTATGTATATATATATTGCATTTCAGTGTGAATTACTGTCAGTCTAGAATGTAACTGCTTTATATACTCAAACATATTTTTTGTCTTCTTCAGTCCACAGAGTTTGTGAAGAAGAACATTGTTGTCACAAGTGGATTCATCGGAGGGTTCCTGCTCGGCCTCGCATCTTAGGGTCTGCCAAATGAGAAGAGTGCTTCTCTGATGTCATGACATACGATAGGGAAATATTCTAAATCATTGGTGGATGGTTTTAAAGTGTTCAATGACAAAAAGCAACCGATCTTAGATTAGCTTGTAGCTATGTGTTTCTACATAAGCTGCACCTCCTTCTGGCTACTTAATACTGTACCTCCATGAGACTGCGCTGTCCATTCGATGTGGAACTTCTTGGTTAGACCAGAAGGACCCTCTTAAAATACTCCACTCTCCAGGCCAAATAATGCAACATATCATAAAAAACGACTGGAAAACAGAATCAGAATGTTGTAATGTTTTTATTTATTTATTTTTACCAAACTGATATTGTACCACAATGAAGATGATGCACTGTTATTGCTGCCTTGTTGCACACAATCAATCAAAGTCGAGTAGTAGAATTAAAGTCACCTTTACATGGCAGGTGGAGCCCATAGGAATCTATCAGTGCCAGTGTTGTATTTTTTATTGCCAGACATTGTGATCAGTCTTCTCTAGTGTTAGTGTGCTGATAGATATGGGATCGTTATGCCTTTTGTAGAGGTGCTATATGTTTGAGTTATTTTAGCCTCCGCTGCAGTTCTTTTTTTAATGTATTTTGTTTAGCAGTACATTTACGCTTTAGGTTGGGAAGGTTGTGGTTAGTCCACTATGTAAGTTTAACGAAGAAATAAAAATAACAAAAACATTTGAATAATTTCTCATTTATTTTTCTGACTATATGTATGTCTGTCTATTTACTCTTGACCTAGATTCCTTTGGAGTCATTGCATGTCATGTATTTATTAATATTATTAGTATTATTATTATTATGTTTTTCTTTCACTTTAAAGGGCACCAGAGATTTTTGTTCCCATTATTAAAGAATAAATGAAAGTACACCCTTCTATATTTAAAACATGTTGCTTTGTTATAGTTTTTATTTTTTAAATATACAAATATAAAATACATTTTAAATTTTTGTCTTTTTAATTCAGTTTCCTTTCAGTTAAGTTTACAGAGTGGGGTTGCTTCTTTCAGTTTAATTCAATTCAGTTCCATTCAAAGGGGCTTCTGGCATGGGTTTCCATTGCCAAAGCAAGTGTAAAATATATGTATATACAGATTATTAAGAGGGGGGAAAAAAACTAGACTTGTAGTTAAAAATCATGCAAATAAATGTTTAGTTTTTATTAGTTTCAGTATTATTTTTTTTAAACTAATCTGGGGCTCTTGGTCAGGGAAAAGATTTACAGTAAAAAGTAAAACTGAAAGGAGCAAACCCACTCTGGAAACTAACTTGCAATTATATTATGTAAGTTACTTACAAAACAGACTAAAATAAGATAAAAATGTATAGGAAATGCCTTTAGTTTGAATGTTTTTAAGTCAAATTTGTCATCAAGCATGAGGGGGCATTGGTGTATAGTATATGTTTTTTTGAGACTGGGACATAAACTAACCAAAATCTAAACATTTTTAAACAAAATCTGAACTGAAGAGCAAACCCACTCTGGAAACTAGCTGAAACTCAACTGAATTAATAACAAACAAAGTCAAAATATAAATAAGAACTAATGAAGTATATAATAGTTATATAGTAAGTGCTGTGGACAAGATATATTATGTACAGTATGCAGTTTACATTTTGACTTCACATTTTAAAGCACTATTTTCTTTCCTTGTCTTTAAGTTAAACTAGTGCGTGGATTAAAATCACATAATATATTAATACTGTACTAGTCCCTTCTGTTGCCCGGAGACGCCCCCAAACAAACGCTTCCATGGCAACGAATAACTTTAAATGACAGCTGAACGTCCACAGCAGCAAAGTTGTAGGAAGACAACCTGTTTGAAATATCACAGCTATGGCGTTACCGTTTCTACCCGGGAATTCTCCCAGTAAACAGGTAAGACGTTCGTTCTGTGTCACACACTTTAGCTTCGGACAGCTAACAAGTTAGCTAGGCAGATAACGCTCCAGTTAGTTAGCAGGCTAGCTCCTGAGCTAAATGTGTACGTTATCTAACAATCATTGACAAGCTTGACAAGATAATGAGACAGAACTGAGTAAAAATAAAATAAAAAAGATAATAAAATAAAATACAATGATAAAAAAGATAATAAAAATAAAAAGAATATTATAACATGAAAGTTTTATCGAGTATAAATATAAATACAAATAACTACTTTACAAGTGAACAAAGAAGGATAGCTCTATTATTAAATTTTAAAATAAGCATAATTCCATAATTACCCCCCCCAATGATTTCTTTCCTTTTTTTTCTCATATTTTATTGGTACGAAAATTGAAGAACAATATCAATCAGACAAAACAAACAAAGGCCTAAAACCTGCTCTCTTCTTATCAGCTGTTTGCACACATTTGCAGGAACCTTTGACCTTTGCCACAAAATACATTTGAAGGAATAGTTTAAATTGATATGAAACAACAAAAAAAATGTAACACAAAGCTTTCATTTATTATATTTTTGACATCATGTAGTGGGTAGGAGGGGGAAGGATGGAGGGCCAGAAATGGCCCCAGGGCCAGCAGTTTGAGATCCCTGATCTAGGGAGACAACAGATACAGTAAAATCATTAGTTAAAGAGACAAATACACACGGTAGATTAATAAAAAGTGTTTTAAATTAGGGCAATAAAAAACTATTACAATTATGCTGATGTGACATTTGTTGTGGTCTGTACCAGGGCATCTCTGCAGCACTACAATACTTCATTATAATGCTGTTTTGTCACACATTTTACCTTCATCAATACATTGCAGCTCCTGTGGTTTGGATGTTGCACATTTTCATTTTTTTTTTTTCATATTTGATTTTAATCATATTTTGATAAATTGTTCAGCCCTACCTTAGTTAACTTAAACCTTTAAACAACTTGTAATGTAATCAGGGACTTTATGGAATGTATTAGCTTAATGTAAAATTAAGAAATGTGATTTCCAGGGTAATGTATCTTTCTAAACTAGTATTATGCACATGCAGGTTAGTTGCTTTTGATTTCTGGCAGTAGTAAATGATCATTGTCACTACATCACTGCCTTACTAATTATAAATAAATAATCAGTCATGATTATATTACAGTGTGTTTGTAATAGAAAGTGATAATTCTATCAAGGCTCAACAGTTGAAACTTTTCCTCTCTTCTGTTCCACAGCTAGGCAAAGAGAGATTCCACAAATCCCAACATTTCGGTTGTTCCAATGGAGTCCCTTTGTTTGTGGGATCTGCAAAGCCAGGCATTGGAGGAGAGCTGTTAGCCGGCCAGGAGATCAAACCCAAGTATTCAGTCTACCCCAGAGGACAGGGCAGCTACGTACCATCATGGGTAGCCTTTGACAAACAGGTGAGCTGTTTTACCTCCTCAATTATAGACGCATGTATATCAGTTGTGTGGGCATCATGTCTAATTTAAATAAATTCCAGCTAATAGTAAGCAGTGTCTTTAATATGTTACATACAGTACAGCAAATGTTCTGTGTTGACTGACAGTGTTAGTTAATAATGGATTACGTGTCATTTGGATTATGTACCAAAAATAAGTAACTATAATCTAACCAGATTACATGTGAAGAATGTGTAGTTATATTATAGTTACTTTATCGAGGATTCACATGATTACGTTGTTGATTGAACGCTCCTTTAACTCACAAAAAGCGTGTCTGGTTCCTAAGACAAGTGCTCTAAGATGGCTTCGAGCAGCAGCAGTCCCTCTAAAACAGCCTTCCAATTCTGGCAATATATATGGATTATCAGCTGATACAATAACCGACAATTACCTGCTTCTCATGGCTGATACCGATAAAATAACAAATTCTATTAAGAAGTTCATAACCTGTAGTTTATGCACACCTGATGGTAAGAAATGCTGAGATGTAGAGAGCAAAGATACACTGTTGTTAACAACAAACAACAGTTCTGACTTTTCAGATGTTCATTTATTTTTTTCTAGTGAAGTCCATCCACAAACATACTTTAGCTTTCATAAAACATAAAGGCTATCAACCGTTTTGCATAAGAATTATTATCGACCAAAAATGTATCAGCTAATTTAATTATCCCAATAATTCAAAATACTATAAATGTATCTGCCCTGATAATTATTGTGCATTCCTAATAATAATAATAATAAACTTTATTTATATAGCACCTTTTAAAACCAAGAATACAACGGGCTTTACAGGGTAAAACAACAAAACATCAGGAATCAAACAGTAAAAACCATAACCCATCAGTAACAATGTATAGAATAAGCAATAAACACTGTAAAACATAGCAATAAGTAAAAAATATAAAACAAAAAAAAACAATTAAACCACAGTGAATAAAAGGTCGGATAAAAGGATCACAGGAACGCAAGACTATAAGAGTGCGTTTTAAGAAGAGACTTCAAAGAAGTAATAGAATTAGCCATCCTGATCTCACTCACCCACAACTCGGGGGCTCTGATGGCAAACACTCTGTCACCTTTGTTTTTTAATCTGGTTTTGGGAACCCCCAGGAGAGCTGTATTTGAGGACCTGAGGGCCTGCAAAGGAAAAATGGCGAGTTAAAAGGCCTGAGATATAGCTTGGGGCCAGCCCATTTCCTTTCAATTCATAATTAAAATTTCAAAATCCACTCTAAAACTAACAATCAGCCAGTGCACAGATGAAAGCATAGGTGTTCTCTTTACCTGTTAAAATCCTGCTCTGCAGAAACCTTCTAGAAATAAACTTTTCTTATATATTTAAAGTTTCTTGTATTAAGCAAAAAAAAAGCCAATGTTGCTTGGCTAGAATTCTTAAAACCAGCAGAAAAATCGAGTCACTGAAAGACTGTAATGGACCTTAAAACTAGAAAAAATGCCACAAATGTAAGCAAGTTGTGCTTATTACAAGCAAAGAAAACTAAGTTATTATTAAGATCTTATTTTTTTATCATTTTTTATTCAAACAATGAAAAACTAAACAGCTGCTTCATTTCCAACACTGGGACAAGACCTCTCTTAAACTGAGAAGTTGTGCAAGTGGTCTTCCTCTTAAAATAAGTAAAATAATCTTGTTCCTCTGCTGGGATATTACTGGTTACTGCTTCAATAGAGCTCAATATTAGCTGGAATATGATATTAAGACAGATATTAAAACCAGATTACTTCTGTAATGCAAATCATGCCTGACAAGATTTTGTCATTTCACAGAAACAAGATTTTTTTACATCCTTGAGATTCCTTTTTTCGCATTGTGGCAGCTGCATTTTGGGGAGGTGGGGAGAGACTTTTTTGTTAATAAGTTTAATAATATTTTTAATGTCCAAAAATGTTAACAAACAAATTACATTACTACTGACCCAACCCTGCTCACCTTACACAGTACAACACCTGGATTATGTTACTGATCTGTTTAGCATTTTTAACATTTGCATATTTCTTTCAAGTCATTAAAGAAACCTTAAAAGCTAATGACCGGTTATGTAACTAAAAGCCATAATTTGATCATTTGACTAACTGCCCTTTTGCACCTACAGGCTCTGTGTTTTGAAGCGTACTTTCAGGAAGCTGTGCCTCAGGCGCGAGATGAGACGTACAGAATCAGGAAGTGTAAGATCTACTTCTACCTGGAAGATGATACCATACAGGTGGTGGAGCCAGAGTACAAGAACAGTGGCATCCCTCAAGGTGTCGGTGACAGAAAAATGTCTCTTATTTTTCATGTACTGCATAAATGATCCATTACCAACAGTACACTTCACTGATGAACACTTTAATACTTGGCTGTGGCTCAGAGGTAGAGCGGGTCGTCCACTAATTGGAAGGTTGGCGGTTTGATCCCTTGGTCCTCTTGCTGCATGTCGAAAGTGTGAACTTTGAGCAAGACACTGAACCCCCAATTGCTCCTGATGCTGTGCAACGGTGTATGAATATGTATGAATAAGTTGGTTTGGTGAAATGGTGAATGGCCCGTACTGTAAAAGTGCTTTGAGTGGTCGGAAGACTAGACAGGCGCTATACAAGTACAGGTCCATTCACCATTTACCATTTACCAAAGTCATTGTCCATGAATGCAAATTTGCTTCAAATACACCTGCCAATGAGTGGTTGTGATAAAGTTTGCAAAAAAAAGAGTAAATATTTACATTTGTTTTAGAATGTGTAAGGGACTGTGCAAAAATTACTGGAGTGGGTAGGGAAGGGTTGTATATTATATTTAACTTTTTTATTATTAATATTTTCTTCGGACCCTCCCCTTGACTTGGAAAAAACACCAACACCTGTCCATTCCCCAAAAAGACTATCCTTCTTTCAGCAGAAAGAGAAAATACGCAACCTTCCAATATTTCTGACACTCCCTTTATCCCTAATAATGTGTGCACTTTTTCTTTGCTTTCTACCATTTTACCAAAGAGATGCAAGGCCTCTCAGCCGAGAGACTGCAATCTCTCGTTGAGTCTTGTTGAATTCAATCCTGCAGTTGTGAGGGAGTTGGACTGGGATAAGGCTGAACCTCAAGCTATTGGGCAGAATAACGACCTCTGGCCAACTGTAGTCACAAAACACAGCACCT